CGTCCGCACGCCGCACGCGCACGCCGCGCGCCGCACGCCGCACGCCGCACTCCCCGCACGCCGCACTCCGGAGCACGCCGCACGGCCGCACGCCGCCAACGCCCGAGGCCGACGCCGCACTTGCCGCACGCCGCACGCCGCCCGCCGCACGCGCACGCCCGCACGCCGCACGCCGCACGCCGCACGCCCCACGGCCGCACGCCCGCACGCCTCACGCCGCACGCCGCACGGCCGCACGCGTCACGCCGCACTCCGCAGCCCGCACGCCGCACGCCCGCACGCCCGCCGCCGCACGCCGCCCGCCCGGCCGTATCCGCACCGCCGCCGACGCACGCCGCACGCCGCAACGCGCCGCCGCACGCTCACGCGTCCGCCCTGCCGCGCACGCGCAGCGCCACGCGCACGCGCACACGCTACGCGCACGCGAACCGCGCACGCGCACGCGCTGACTGCGCATCACGCACACGCACACGCACACGCACAGACTACCGCACACGCACACGCACACGCACAGCACACGCACGACGCAGGCGACGCACACGCCCCGCACCACACACCACGCACACGCACAATCTCACACGCACACGCACACGCACGATCGCACACGCACACGCACCGCACACGCACCGCACACGCACACGCACACGCAACCGCACACGGCACACACGCACCACACAACACACACCACACACACACACACACAACCACAACCACACACACCCACACACACAACACAACACACACAACACACACACACAACACACAACACACAACACACACACACACACACACAACAACTCACACCACTCAAACACACTCACACACACACAACACACACACCACACACACACAACACACACACACACACCCACCCACCCACCCACGCACGCACGCACGCACGCACGCACGCACGCACGCACACACACACATAAATATGAACACGCACAAGTAGAAGGATTCCCCCCCTTCCCATATTTTCCAATATTCTCTCGGGGAATCGACGATTTTTTTATCATGCTGACTTATGTGGTGCATCGCACGAGCGCGCGCTGCTTGTGGTCGAAAGCTCCCACGTCAAATAACATCAGTGAGTCCTACCAGCCCATTAGGGACTGAGTTGATTAGAGCGTTTCCTCATCCAGCGCCCCTTCCTCCCCTTCGTTCAGAGGACACCCCCCGCATACCCCCTACCTCTGGGCCTGGACGGAGCTTTTCGCGACCCGTTGGGGCGTCCGAGGAGGCCTCGACGAGAAGGTGCACATCATTGATTTTCTCAGGTTCGGGGCCATTGGGGCCGCCTCCCTGGGGGGGAGATGCTAGCATGGTGCTCACCTCGTCTTGGATCGAGCTGCTTCAAGGTGGCTCCAAGATTGCCCCCAGGGCTCCCAAGAGCTCCAGAGGGTCCCAAGATTTGGCCAGGATGCCCCAAGATGCCCCCAAGAGGTTCCCAAGAGGCTCCCAAACCCAAGACACGCCACGAGCCCCCCAGGACCGCCAAGAGGCCCCCAAGATGCCCCAGGAAGCTCTCAAGATACATCCGAAAAGACTTCGAGAGGCATACAAGAGGCCTCTAGGCTTTCCGCTCGCCCTGCTCCTCCTCTTCCTCCCTCGTCCCCTATTCTTCTTCTTCTTCTTCTTCCTCCTCCTCCTCTTCCTTCCTCCCGTGTCCCTTGTCCCTTGTCCCTTGTCTTTCCTACCTCCTCCCACCTCCCTCTTCCTCCCTCCCTCCCTCCTCCCTCCTCCCCTCCTCCTCCTCCCCTCCTCCCTCCTCCTCCTCCTCTCCCTCCTCTTTCATCCCTCCTCCCTCCCTCCCTCCTTCTCCTCCTACTCCTCCTCCTTCTCCTGCTCCTCCTCCTCCTCCTCCTCCACCTCCTCCTCCTCCTCCGCCTCCTCCCCTGTTCCTCTCCTCCTCCCCCTCCTCCCCCTCCTCCTCTCTCCTCCTCCTCCTCCTCCCTCCTCCTCTCCTTCTCCTCCTGCTCCTCCTCCTCCGCCCCCTCCTCCTCCTTCTCCTCCTCCTCTCCTCCCCCCCCCCCCTCCCTCCTCCCCCTCCTGCTCCTCCTCCTTCTCCTCCTCCCCTCCTCCTCCTCCTCCTCCTCTCTCCTAACCCCCCTCCCCCTCCCTCTCCTCCTCCTCCTCCTCCTCCTCCTCTCCTCCTCCTCCTCCTCATCCCTCCTCCTTCCCCTCCTCCTCCCCTCCCTCCTCCTCCTCTCCTCCTCCTCCTCCTCCTCCTCCTCCTCCTCCTCTTGGGGTATGGGTACTTCCCCCGCCCGCTATGACACTGCATGCTCATCCACATCCCTGATCAGGACAACTCGCCTGGGCATCGACTCTGGAGGGGCTGGTGGGGTTACGCGAAACGTCTAGAATCGAGCGTTATGCTATCAGCGGGCATTGGAGGCTACGGTGATGACGGGATTCGGCGAGCTTGACTTGCCACGTCAGTGTAATGGTGCTCCCAAAGAGCCATCGATGACACTTCGATGCGATTCGGTTGATACCAACACCTTGCTGAACTACCGCCCTTCGGGTGATAAAGAGGTTCGGGGGGACACCACCGTCTCACTCGATCGGTCTCGCTATCGATCGCACTATCGATCTCACTATCGGTCTCGCTCGATCGATCTCACTCGATCGATATCACAATCGATCTCATTCGATCTATTTCATTCGATCGACCTCACAATCGATCTGACTATCGATCTCACAAACGATCTCACTATCGATCTCACTATCGGTCTCACAATCGATCTCACATTCGGTCTCACTATCGATCTCACTATCGATCTCGCAATCGATCTCATAATCAACGTCATCATCATCATCAGCATCAACATCATCGTCATCAACGTCATCAACATCGTCGTCATCATCATCATCATCATGATCATGATCATGATCATGATCATGATCATGATCATGATCATCATCATCATCATCATCATCATCATCGGGACACCATCATCATCATCATCATCATCATCATCATCATCATTATTATCACCTCATCACCCTCATCATCAACATCATC